GGGAATGCCAGCTTCCCTCCTCCTGCCCCTGGTAATTAGGCCTCCTGTAAACCCACTGCCAAACTCTTCCCTTTGGACATCTGGCCCCAGCAGGGAGAGCAGGCACTGCAGCACTTCTTTGGGTTTTGACGTCTGCAGATTGAGGCTGATGCAGTTAATCAGCACCCGTGAAAAGCCATGGGACTCTACTTGTGATACCACCTCCGTTCCTAAAGCGGACAGAGGTCTTGCTTCTCTTCTGTTTTCATTTTGCTCTGGATTAAGCTTTGATTTCTTTCTTTGTTTCTTTTTTCCTTTTTTTTTTTTTTTTTTTTTACAGTTAATTAGAAGATAATAACACCAGCAAACTTATTGTTAATTATTTGTATCTGTACGTAATACTTATGAGTATACTCTGTTCTCACAAGCTAATATTTGGCTTGTCAAGTGTGTTTCTCATTGTAATTAATTGAGCCCATATACATTCACTGCTGCTGTGGGTAGAGTTACAGGAAGAGTGAAGATCTGAAATGTCTCCACCACCCTCTGCGTGTCCCTAGAAAGAAAACTTGGGGGGAACAGGTCTTTGTGACCTCACACTACACCTACCTGGCTTCTTTCCTCCTATGGTCCCTGTTCTTTTTCATTTTTAAAAAAACGTGTTATATATGTATGTATGTATTTATTTGTAATACTGGGGAGTGAACCTAGGGCCTTCACACTGAGTTATACCCCCCAGCACCCTTTTTCTTTGGGAGTACTGGGAATCGAACTCAGGACCTCAGGCTTGCCAGGCAGGCGCTGCACCACTGAGCTAAATTCCCAGCCATACCTTTTTGTATTTTTTATTTTTAAAAATCCCCAGCCTTTTGTATTTTTTATTTTGAGATAAGACCTTGTTAAGTCATTAGGTTACCTCTGCGGGGCTTCAACTTGTAATCCTTCTGCTTCAGCCTCCCAGAATGCTGGAATTACAGAAATGTCCCACCATGCCCAGCCCTCACAGGGTCTTTTCTTTGAAACTCTCCATATCCTCTCTCTCATGGTTCCTATTAATTTCCTTTGTACCATCAGGGCCTGGCTGATGGTACATGGCTCATAGGGCCCAGCACAAAATAAAAATACATTTCTGCATGGTGATAGCAAAGCCTTAACCCAAGTCCTGCATATTATTGGCTGTCCTTGGCCTTTTCCCCAGGGATGGTCTCCTCTCCTAGCCCTGATCCTGTACCTTTACAGCTGGCTTAGTGCTCAACATGCAGGGGTGAGGGCTCAAGAAATGAGCAAAAGACCTTGCATGGTGATACAGCCTGTAATTCCAGCACCTGAGAGGCTGAGACGGGAGGATCACCACAAGTTTGAGGTCAGCCTGAACTACCTAGGGCGATCCTGTTCCGCCCCCCCCAAAAAAAAGAGAGAAAAAAAAATTCCCAATATAATCTTGGAAAACAGGAAGTACATGTAACTGTGTGTCTGTAGAGGGGTGGTACGCAGTCAGACCAGTGATGTATCTGTCAAAGTCCATCAAACTATAGACTTAAGAGGAATGAATTAAGCTGTGAATAATTACACATCAATTAAAAAAAAAAAAAAACCCAGAGTGTCTTAAAAATCCCCAACGCCACTCCTTATCCTCCCAGTCCATATGCTGGTGGTGATAGCAAAGCCTTAACCCAAGTCCTGCATATTATTGGCTGCCCTTGGCCTTTTCCCCAGCGATGGTCTCCTCTCCTAGCCCTGATCCTGTACCTTTACAGCTGGCTTAGTGCTCAACATGCAGGGGTGAGGGCTCAAGAAGGACTCACGAAGTCCTTCCCCAGCTTGGTCTTCATTTTCTTTTTTTTGGTACCAGGAATCAAACTCAGGACCTTGCTCTTGCCAGGCCGGTGCTGTGCTGCTGAGCTGCATCCCCGCCCCTTGGGCTTCATTTTCTAGCTTCTCCTCCAGCACTTTAGGGGCTTCCCATAGTCTAGCCATGCTAAATATGGAACACCCTGGGAAAGACTGAAGAGGTGGGGAGCAGAGCGCTGGGGGTCCCTGCTGGGCCCCAGGTGAACCCTCTAGTTTCTGCATCACAGGACGGGGACAGAGCCCCAGGTCAGAAGAGGTGGGACAGGGCTGTTGGCAGGCTCTGAACACCAGCTCCATATCCGTCGACCCCGAGGCGGTCTAGTCTGCCGGTTTACCCAGTGTATCAAATTGGTCATGTCTACTTCCCCTCAAAGCCTTGCCTAAAATATGGGCCTGCACTTTCTTCTTGGCAAGACACCTTCGTCCCGCTTGCATTCTTCTCCAGGGAGCCTGGCTGGCCACCTCTTCTCTCCTCCCACAGCTCTGTAGCAGTGTTGGCCACACTGGCCTGGAGTAACTGATTTGCTGTGCGGTTCCTTGTCTCCTGAAGGCAGGGGCCTTGACTTTGTGTTCTCAGAGTCCCCTGGGGTACCAAGCACATGCAGAGCCAGGCGCAGCACACGAATGAAGGGATTCCTGTAAAGATTTTCCTAGCATATAGCACAGACATGGATGCGAGGGTTCAGACGGAAGGAAGGAAGGAAGGAAAGAAGGAAGGAAGGAAGGGTGGGTAGATAGATGGATGCATGGATGGGTGGAAGGATGGATGGATGGATGGATGGAGGGACAGACGGATGGGTGCATTACCTGTTTACCATAGTCATACTTCCTTCGACATACTGGGAATTCTTGACACAGGGGTTTAGAGAGAGAGAGAGAGTATTATAGCAACTAAGACCTCAGACTTTAGATTCAGGCAACTTGGGGGCTTCCTAGCACTCGTCAAATGCCAGATTTGGCCATGTGACTTGACCTCCCTGAGTTAAGTAATTATTGACCGGATTTTCAGGGTTGCTGAGAAGCTCAAGTGAAACAATGCTTGCAAAACACTCGCCAGCGGCAGCCACAGTGACAGAAATGGGATCTTGTTCACCAGGGAGCCTGAATCTGGTGGCTGTGGCCCCCCAAACGACAGGGAATAAAGTCACCTCGCATTGGCAGCCATTCTTAAATGAACGGCTCTGGCTTTTTCTTCCATGATCTATTGGGTTAGATGATTATACAACCAAGAGGAAAATTTCCCTGCGATGGGAATATACCCAGTGGCGGATGATACTGGATCTAAATCTGGAAGACAATGGAAATGAGCATCTCATTTGCCTCCAGCTTCCTGTGTCTCTCCAGGAGGACACCAGCTACAGCCATGGACAGGGAAGTGATTCTCCGCCTCATCATAGAAATCACATCATCAGTTGCCTTCACAGTCAAAAGGCAAGACTTCCGCCTTCCTGGATGTTCTGCCCAAGAATAAGTTTTTGGCTGAACAAAAACTTTTCCTCCCCTGTCCAGCAAAGAAGCAACAGTGTCTCGGTTCTAAGGTATCCGTGAGGACTGCATTGGTAGAACTTGATGGGAATTCTTTAAATAGTCAGTGTTATTAAATTCATTGTGTTTGTGTTGGCTGGTTTTGAGACAGAGTCTTGCTATGTAGTTCAAGTTGGACTTGAACTCGTTGTATAGCTCAGGCTGGCCTCAAACTCTTGGTGATCCTCCTGCCTCAGCCTCCTGAGTGCTGTGATTATAGGTGTGCACCACCACGCCCAGCAAGCTCGTTGTTTTCAGAAGAGGAAATAGGAGGGTGAAAATACTAAGAAGATGATCAACTGTGCAAATCTGCAAAACTGGAAAAATCTTTGTTGGATAAAGTTCCTCATGAGTCACTCACATCTTCCTGTGTGATCCGCTAGAAAGTGGACACCTCTCCTCCCCAAACAATCTAGGGTCAAATCCCTGGAATCTGGACATGTGGCCTTATTTGGAGAAAGGATCTTTGCAGGTGTAATTAAGTTAAGGATCTTGAGATGAGATCGTCTTGAATTAGATAGGCTCTCAAGCCAGTGACAAACATCCTCTAAGAGAAAAGAATGGTAGAGGACACACAAGGGAGGTTATTTGAAGACAAAGGCAGAGATGAGAAGCATGGAGCCATAAGTCAAGGAACCAGAAGCTGGAAGAGACAGAGAAGGGTCCTTGCTTTCCATGCCATGATTTCAGACCTGAGGACTGAGCCCAGGGCTCTACCCACTCTAAACAAAGGCCCTATCACTGAGCTACATCTCCTGTCGCCATTTCTATTGTTTTAAGCCGTTTAGCTGGTGATCATTTGTTCACGGCATCACTGGGAAAATCCCACACCCTGTGGCACCTTCCATGGGGAGTGCAATCCCTTGTCTATCCTGGGCAGTCTTGGGGATGAAGAAGATTCTGCACAATTCTTGCCTGGAGCTATTTTGCTAGAAGCCAGCACGGAGCCCTTACCGCTGGATCATGGGGAGCAGACTCGGGTCCAAATTCTGGCTTCCCCTCCAATAGCTGTGAGATCTTGAACAAGTGTCTTGACCTCTCCGAGCCTCCGTTTCTGTGCCATATGGAAAGCGAAGGGATACAGCAGATAATGGGATGGCTCAGAAAACATCGATGCTCCTGGTACGCAGTGATTACTCATGACTGGCTGGGGGGCCGCAAACCCTTTGGGCAAATCCATTCAGCTTCGTATGCCCATGGCAAGCTGCCGCTGTGATTACGGGGTGTCCTGTGGTCACGGGGGACAGCAGAAGCACAATGGCGTGCATGGGTTCCACCTGTGGCCATGCCCGGTTAGCAGGAAAAGCCTAATGCCTTGTGAAACCGCCAGCCCTGCTGGGCAGCTGCTTTCGTGCTCTTTGGGAAGCCAAAGTGGGCAGAAAACTGGATCCAGGCTCCAGGCTCCCAGGGCATTTCTCCAGCCTTCTCGGGGATGTGACTTCTAAAGAAGCCACACTGACTCCAGGGCACTTCCTCCTCCCGCTTCCTGAGCAGGTCTGTGTTCAAAGGACGCCACCATCCATGACCCTCCTACTTACTGGCTAGAAGGGACGCATCCTCTCCGCTCAGTTAAAATGACATTTTCCTGAGAAGAGCAGGTCATATTTCAAACTGCATCGCCAAGGTATCAGGGGCCAGTAAAAGGGGGCATTTAACACCGTATTTATTTTGACTGGCAAAACAGGTCATGGCTGTAAAAGAAACAGCTCTTGGGAGTGAGGCAGCCTCCCCGACTCCGGGCTCACTCTCTCTACCCACATGCACACTGTTTAAAGCATTCCGGAGCCGCTGCCAACTTTCCTGGCAGTGCTCTTATTTCTTTACATGTATGTTGCATTCCATCTGTGTAATGTGCGCTCTGTGCCATTGGGAGACTCTGGCGAGGCCTGGCAAGGTGGCATATGTGCTCAGGCTCGTTCTAAGTAAAAACAGGACATGGGGCAGAGGGGCACCGGAGAAGTGGAGGAGGGCTGCTTCTCCTGAGGCTCAGGGGGGCCTGGGCTTTGAGCTGCTTGGCAGTTTCTCTCCAGATGCGGTAGTGTCACGTGTCTGCGCTTCATCCTACCCGGAGAAGGTCTGGGACACAGGTTTGCAGTTTCTGATACGCAGCCAGGAAAATAAAAAGGAAAGAAAACGGTACCATCAGGAAAACACACTCATGCTCGTGAATCTAGGGTTGGCCCGGAAACATCTCTGGGCCTTAAACACCAGGGCCTGGATCTGATACTCCCAACACCTAGAGAAAAACTGAACTCCATCTTTGCCTGTCTCCAGAACCATTACGGACTTGGTCGGTGGAGCTGAGGCAACATGCTGTGATTGGATCCAATTTCACCCCCTTGGCAGACAGGAAAGCCAGGTTTTACGCACTGCCAAAACATCTGGTGAATTCAGTTTTAAAAAATGTGCCAGTCCAGTGGGGAAGAAAACAAAGCCCTCTAGAAACAGTTGTTGAGTATTGGGCGACTAAAAATATCATCCTGATTGACTAGAAAGGTTCGCTTTTCCACCGGGTCTTCAGTGGAAAGCGTCCAGCCGAGCACGGAAGATGACGGGGCTAAACAACATAAAGATTCACGCTTTCACAAAAAGCGGGACGCACACAGATTTCTTGAGTCCAGCCAAGACTATGAACAGAATCTGCCTGTTTAGAGGTGGAATTTACTCACCTGAATCAGAAGGGGATGGCATGGGACAGGAAAAAATAAGGTTCTGGCTTCTAATGAGAAACAGCCGTGTGTGGAATAAAATTAGTGTGAGTTGTGTAATCCCGGTTGGCCAGTTGTAAGAACAGGGAGGAGGGAGGAGTTTGGGGAACAGGCTTCACATGTGATTCAAGAGGTCCTGGAGCCCGTCCTGACCCTCTGGGTTGGAATTTCTGACTCTCTACTTCGCCTTGACTCAGAATAGGAAACCGTATCCTGACCGCGTGTTTCTTTTTATAGAATTCGACTTGCTTGCCAGCTTCCTCCAGAGCCTAAGATCATCCCTCCTCGTCTCTAAACAATATGCCAATCACCAAGATGGAAGTGAGGGGCTGCACGGTCCCGACTGCACCAAACATAACCCAGGCCCTGCGCAGAAGACACGCAAGGAGCCCAGAGTCTGGCTTTTGCGCCGGGCCTGGTAAATACAACATGTTCTTACAGGTTGGAAAACCGTCTGGCTCCTCTTTGTACTTTCTCTCTTTCTCCCACTTCTTCTGACTTGGATCTCGCCGTTCTGCTTTTGACGTGGGCCAAGTTCGCATTTGCCAGTTGCCGAGTGGATAATGGATGGTTTGTGAGATGAGCAGTAAGCCAGGGACAAGGAGCCGGGCAGCCAGGCGCGCACTGCCGGTGTGATCAAATCCCGCTCAGCCCGACGGGCCCTCCGAGCACGTGCTGATAGGAATCAAGCGGGGTGAGAATGAAATGTCTTAATTCCCGTTCACCCGGCTGCCTTTCTTGTGCTGGTGACAACCCCCGCAGGAGACCCTTTGCCCCGGTCTAATCAGTTAGCGGAGGTCATTTCTCGCTTGTCAGGTACACCGGGGCCTGCGAGCCCGAAGGGGACATTAATAGAATGCAAAGTGTTTAGTCGTCCCTCATTAAAAATGGATTTTGTTTTCAGTGCTTGCTTTGAGGACGGGAACAGTGAAGTTGGAAACTGTGCTTGTAATTGGGAGCAGGTCTCCTGCCAGATCCTAACAGCTTTAAGGGATATCCAGTTTTAGGTTTATAGTACTACATTCTGGCTCATTGAAATCGCAGCTCAGGGCTGCCAGGATGCGTCATAAACTACAAAATTTGTACAAAAATGTATTGACATAATGACTGTGGAGCCTTAAGTCAAAGGGGCAGGGGAGCTGTTTGTCCACATCAGCATTGTTGTCCTCTTGGGTCACCCGGGACAATTATCCCATTCGCAGGATTCCAGGCCTGGTCGGGCCAGTTTGCTCGGCTGCTTAGAACATGACGTTAAAGGGCTGAGGAAGCAGCCTCACCCTGTCCTGTAGCGACAGATGGCATCCCTACCTGGGTCACACCAGACAGAGGCTTAGGGATCAAACCCAGAGCAAGCATTCCCATCTGCTGCTGGAATAAAGTGTCATGTGTAATTCCGGCCTCATGGTTCTCAGCTCTGATTAGTCTGTGCTCACTGGGCTCTGGACACGACTCACCTTCCAGATCCTCCAATGGACCAAGTTTCTTCCTGCCTCTGAGCTTCCCCTCATATTATTCCCTCTGCCTGGAACTTCTCTGTCCCGGCTACTTTTGGCTCTTCATCCAGTATTCAGTTTATAGGCTGAGTTTTCTTTTTTTGTGGTCCTGGGTATTCAACTGGGGCCTTTGCACTGAATTACATCTCCAGCCCTTTTTATAAAAATGTTAAAATTCTGAGACAGGGTCTCGCTAAGTTCTCAGGCTGGCCTTGAACCTGTGATCCTCCTGCCTCAGCGTCTGACAGTGCTGGGATTACAGGTGTGAACCACCACAGCCAGCTTTAGGCTGATTTTTCAGAGACTGGCTTCCACTGTAGCATTTATTGAAACTGTCACTTCAAAATTCTGTTTATGTCAGATGGGACTAGTGCTTCCGACGCTGTACATGTGCACATGAATCTCAGGGAGTTTGTGTTAAAATGCAAGTTCAGAGACAGCAAGGCCTGGGCAGGGCCTGAGACTCTGCATTTCCAACCAGCCCTGTGTGAGGCTGCGGCTGCAGGTCTATGGGCCATGCTCTGAGTAGCAACAACACGGGCCTTTCTCAATCACAGTTGTGGGAAAGAATTAAGTCCAGCAGAAAGTGAGCTGAGCTACTGTTTTCTCAGTTCCCCTAAGGACAGTGCATAACTGGAACCTTTAGCAGGATGTTAATTCATTACATACCTTGGATGCCTTGGGCAGGTTCTCAACTTCTCCCCTGGGGAAGTCTGGGCTGGAGAATTCTTCTGGGTGGGTGACTGTCCTGTGGATGGTAGGCTATTTAGCAGCAGCCCTGGTCTCTTTGTATCAGGGACCCCAGTGGTGTCATCCCTTAGGTGTGACAATCAAAAATGTCCAAGTTCCCTGGGGCAAAACAGCACCCCCTGTCGAGACATACAGCTTTACCACATTAGGATCTCATTCTCCGGCGGTAGTGGGTTGAGAAGGATCGGAAGGCCCAAGACAGTGTTTTGGGCATGACTAGACTCTCACTGCCTAGCACAGTTCTCAGGGCATGGCTGATCCCCATTACGTGTTTCGAGATTGATTGAATAAATGAATGAGCGAGTGAGTGAGTGAATGAAAATGAGCTCCAAAATCATATTTGGCTGGTGGGCAAGTAGAATTCCCTTCACACAGCCCTCAACCCCATCCACCCCACTCCCCCTCAAAAAACAGCAAAACTAGTGGGCTAGTTGTCATCCAAAGCACAATTTTTCTAAATGTAGCATTTTTCCAGAGTAAATATCACTTTGGAAGGAAAAAAATTGTGAAGAAAGATTCTCACTTGAGATCTTTTTTTAAGAAAATGTCTCCAATGACTAAAATCGTCTTACAGTAAGTACCCAGAGAATTGCATTTGCTTAGAGAGAGAGAGAGAAAAAAAAAACCTGCTGTTTTTAGTCTCAAGTGTAGAAAGTATTTGAAAATCATATACTATTTTCCCCCCTCTTACTGCAAAAATTATAAGATGATAGCATTAATTTTGATTCTAGATTGTTTAAGCTCCGTCTCACAGAGAAAGTGTTATCGGGGACTTCTTTGGGAAAAAAACCATAATTAATAGCACTGGCAATTCAAGGAAGAAAAACAGTAATGGTGGGGGGAGCTGTAATGGTTTCAACGTGTCCTCCAAAACTTGAGTTGAAATTTAATCGCCATGGTGACAGTATTAGAAGCTGGAACAAAAAAAAAAAAAAAAAGAAGAAGAAGCTGGAACATTTAAAGGTGAGTGGGTCATGATGACTTCACCCTGAGGAATGGATTAATGCTGGGAATGGGTTGGTTATGGCAGGAGTGGTTTTGTCCACTGAGTGAGTTTACCCAGTCTCTGCTATTTTGTTATAGCAGCAGAAAGCAATCTAAGCCAGGAGATCTCTCCCATGGTTTCCAGAGGAAAATTACCAATAGAAAAAAAATCTTCACATTGCTTAAAAACTGTAGCCTTGGGTTGTATTTGTAAAAGAATGTGATTCACTCCATTTGCCTGTTTCCACACACTCAGCAACTCAGAGACAAGTTTTCAAACCAAACTGCTATGCACAAGGCAAAGCTGACTTCTCCCTCTTCTCTTCCAAAACTTTGGGCAAATGGGGAGGTTGAATTCTCAATTGCTCTGGTAATTGACTAGCATTTGGTGCACTGAAGCAGCTTCTGGAAAAGGATGTGGAGATGATGATCTTCCAATGCCTCTCAGTGTGTTCTTTTTTGCCTACTAGAGGTAGAAAATCATTTTTATTTTGCATGCCTTCTGTGCAATCTATTGGTAGTGGCTGTAAGCACGACTTTTCAGCAGAGACTGTGAATCTAAGTCTGGGCTCCGTGCATAGGAAGCAAAGAGTGCTGCAGTGAATTGGTAATGTCTGCCATGAGTAGCTAGGTGGAGGAGGTGGATGCGCTGTGGATTGACCATTCCTGGGTCTTGCTATAGTCTTCTTCTTTAGGGAAGGTGCCTTTTACTGAAGGAGAACACCAAAGCAAAGCTTCTGCACATCTGTACATAGCCTATCTCACTCCGTTTCACTCAGATAAGTCAGGGTTTCAGTTCCAGCAGCCTCCCACAGCAGATGTGACCCAAAACACACCATTAGGGGAAAGTGCCCTTCCTTCCCCCAGAGCATCTGAATAGGCTGTTGTATCTGTGGCTCCCTCTCAGGGTCAGTACAGCTAGGTCATCCCTTCACCAAGTGACCTTACATTTGACTCTGTTGCTGTGATACCAAGTATGGTGCAAACAGCACATCCCCCTCTTGGGGGGATGATGAAAAGGTCTTTTTATAAGACTTTTTTTTCTTTCCAGGACAGGGGATTGAACTCAGGACCTTTGCATGAGATATAGCTCAAGTTTTTAAAATTTTTTTTTTCTTTTTTTAATTTGAGACACTATCTCGCTAAATTGCCCAAGCTAGACTCAAACTTCTGTCCCTCTTGCTTCAGCCTCCCAGACTGCTGGGATTACAGGTGTGCACCATCACGCCTGGATAAGACTTAATAAGTCCAAACAGTCATTGTTATTCAATCTCCTTGCTGTCCACAATATATACATAAATGAGAATTTTAAAATGCATTAAGACAAGTATCGGATCTTCAAGACAATGATGAATAAGTAAATGATGGAGAAGAAAGCAACGGTCACCAACCTCATGAAAAAAGAAACATCTTAGAGGGGAAAAAAATTTACAAGTAGACCGTTAACGTTCAATATAGTCTATTGCAAAAATCAAGAGGAGGATGATTAAAGTGATGCATTCACACTTGAAGACAGTTCAAATGACTGAAGAAACTTTTGGATCACCTATTTCAGTCGAACCAGGAGTGACACGAGAGTTACGTGATCCAATAGGGGTTGAGATGACACAGAAATTCTTCTTTCATTGAACAATAATTTTCTTGTCCTTGTGGTCCCTGAAAGTTTCCTAGGTTGTAAGTGCCAGCCACTTCCCACTCCCCTGCCTTGGTCTCGTAAGTCCTGTTTTGGATCCAGCCTGTTAGAGGGGAAACGGTGTTGGTGTTCTCGGGATTTCCTTTTTTAAAAAATCATCTGGTGGCAAGGGAAGGTATTCCACATAGAACTGAGAAGTCAT